TTGGAGCTTCTTCTCAGTCCAACCACTAAGCTGGTCATTGCTGGTTGTCATATAAAATCCACTTTCCTCTCACATCACAATCCAGTTGAGAAATTGTTCTTTGCTATTGCATAAAGAAGAGAAGATGACACTTCAAAATGACAATATTTATGATTTTTGTTCAGCTCATGAGGCACCCACTTAATCAAGCTTTTTCACTTTCCGATTTGCTTCAAATGCTGAACGACCATATAGGTAGAATGGCTGACAATGTGGAATTCACATTGAGTTCTTCGGCAACTTCTTGTGTAGTTGTAAGAGGATCAACTTAGCAGATTGCTCTCAATTGGTCGTTGTCAACTTCCGGTGGCTGGTCATTGTGCTCCTCATCTTCAAGGCTCTCATCTCCTTTGCAAAACTTCTTGAACAACCACTGCACTGTACATTTGTTAGCAGTTCCTGGGCCAAATGCATTGTTGATCTTGTGAGTTGTCTCCACTGCTTTACAACCCATTTTGAACTCAAAAAAGAAAATTGCTCAAATTTTTTTTGTCTAAAATCATTTCCATAGTCTTAAATAAATATAAAATAAACAGCAAGTAATAAGTCATTAGTAAGAAAACATATGAGAAATGTACATTAAAATCATGTATAACATAACCACATTTATTTTAGAATGTATTCCAATATCAAATAGCAAATTTCAATAATGCCAGAACTGTAATTACTTTTGCACCAACCGAAATATTATCATATCTATCTCTCTTTACCAATCAATGAACTGGGCTCCAGTTTTAACTCTATTTTACAAATGAAATCATTAAGACAAGAGGTTAAAGAGACCTTGATTAATGTCATTGAAGCAGATGTAGTGAAACTTGAATTTGGTCTGATTTCTGAGTCCATGCTTTTAGTAGATTAACAAAGACAATAAAAAAATCTGATAAAGAAAATGTCCAGAAAAAAATTGCCATAAAGCAGCAATACAATAGCAAGGAAAAGAGGCATTGCATTTTTGGTTAATAGGGTTAAACTTCCTCTTTACAAGAGAATGTCAATCAATATCTAGAAATAAGAATAACATCACTCTAAGTGATGGAGACTTTTAAAAACAAGTTTTTAACCCTTTAAAATGAATGTTGGAGACAATACTTCCTTAACTGAGTAAAATCAGGTCCCCTCTGATTGGGATACAATTAAATAACACTGGACTTATGGTTGGAAGTTCTGGGTTCATGGTATTTCTGTGTTTTTCTGGCTCAGGGAATTTATATAAGTCATGAAGAATCTCTGTTTGCTTCCACATTTTTAAAGTTAGAATAATAGTGCCCATCCCACAGATTTATTTGAAGATTAATTAATGGTGCATGTCAACATCTAGCCATCCAAGACATAGATATGAATCCTGCTAGAGGTTCATATGATGATCATGACCTATGCTGGGGAATGTGGATAGAGGGGAATAGCACTGAGATACTAGGGGAAGCAGAGTTAATTGGAAAGACATTAATGCTACACGTGACAAATGCCATGGAAGTGTCTGTTTCCAACCCATGACACAAAGAGAAGAGTATAGATCTACATCTAGTGAGTAGTAAGGAGTTGGACACAACTCTAGGGTTAAGCTTACATGGATATGGAACTCCACTGGAGACCGTTAAGTAGTTAACTACATACAATGCAACCATGAAGAAAACATGACATCCTGTATTAAAGGACAAAATGAAGGCATAGCCTGCCAGCAAAGGTAAAGGGCCTGTCTTGCCCTGAGCACTAGAGCTTTAAGAAATAGGCAAATTTCTTTTATAGAAACTGATTTTTATTAGAACACAGAGCTTCAATTAAGAGGTGATTTGGCTGGGTGCAGTGGCTCACACATAATCCTAGCACTCTGAGAGGCAGAGGCAGGAAGATTGCTTGAGGTCAGGAGTTTGAAACCAGCATGAGCAAGAGCGAGACCTCATCTCTACTGAAAAAAGACAAAACAGAAAAATTAGACCTGAGTGGTGGTGCATGCCTGTAGTCACAGCTACTCAGGAGGCCGAGGCAGGAGGATCTCTTGAGCCCAGGAGTTTGAGGTTGCAGTGAGCTATGAGGATGCCACTGCACTCTATCTGGGAGACAGAGCAAGACTGTCTCAAGAAAAAAAAAATGGAACTAATAACATTTTCACGTCTTCAAAAACATCAAACCTAAAATTTACATATATATATATATATATGTAAATTCACAATGCAGAAAGGGACAAAACATAATGAGACATTCTTAAATTCTAATCCTCATGCAAAAGTTCCCCATTCCCCATGAAATTGGTGAAGTTATGCAGAATCACTTTTCATAGAACACTTCAGAATAGGCAACAGTTAGGAGAAAAGTGAAGGTTACTCAGTATATACATCAAAATTGTCTTTTATAAATTATTGAAAACAGTGTGTCCATTTGTGGCATTGCTAATTCATTGGCAACAATACAGCCATCAGTTGGAATACTAATTACATTTTTGTTCTGAGCTGGTGCTGAGAGCTATGATCAAACATACTTTTGCATTGAACAGTTCATGATGCAGTAGTCATTAAAATAGATTTGCTCTTTTTTCCTAGAATATTTATTCAATATATTCCACTGAGTGAGTATTTCAATAAATAACAGCTACATAGTCTCTTTACATAATTCAATAGCACAGAGGCATGAAGACGTATTTTTTCAGCTTGTATCTTTTATTTTCAGTAATATCTAATGATACTTAGACCTGGTATTTTATTTCCCATTTCTTATGAATGGGAAATTTTCCCATGTAGTCTCAGATTCTTTCTTTGCATGACCCTGCACCTAGTTTCTCTAGCAGGTAGTCAGGTTTCTTAAAGTACCTTTCACAGTAGCTTACAAAACAAGCATTCTAAGAGAAGCTATGCAAGCTGCCAAGAGTCTTAAAGTCTAGGTGAAAAGCTGATACAGTACTACCAATATTTCATTGGTCAAAGCAGTTATGGGCACATTCCAGAATCAGTGACGAAAAATAAAAATAAAATAAAAATACAGACCTCTCTTCCTTACAGGAGAGTCATAAAGGAGTTGAAAGTGTCCTTAATCCATCACAGAAACTAAGCCCAAAATGTATTACACTTCTTTGTTTTCATTTCTTTTGTTTTTTCTTAGCTGTAAATAGAGTCTTTTACATTTATTTTTATTTTATTGTTGTAAGAACACTTAGCATGAGATCTACCCTTTTGGGAGATTTTTAAATGTATGATTCAGTATTGTTAACTATAGACATAAGGTTGTACAGATCTCCAGAACTTACTCATCTTGCATAACTGAAGGGTGTCTTTCTTTTTTAAGGCTAAATAATATTCCATTATATGTACATACTGCATTTTCTTTATCCATTAATCTGTTGATAAACATTTATGTTATTTCCATATCTTTGGCTATTGTGAATGATGCTGCAATAAACATGGGAATGCATTTTTATCTCTTTGAGGTCCTGATTTTGATTCCTTTGTATATATAACAAGAACCAGGATGGCTAGATCATATGGTTGTTTTATTTTTAATTTTTTGAGGAACATCCATATTGTTTTCTATAGAAGCTGCACCATTTTGCATTCCCACCAACACCATAGGAGGGTTTCAATTTTTCTACATCCTTTCCAACATGTGGCAAAGGAAACAGTCAACAGAATGAAAAGGCAATATGGAATGAGATAAAATATTTAAAAACTGTGTATGTGATAAGAGTTTAATTTCACAAACATATTTTAAAAACTTCTACCAATCAATGTCCCATAAAACCTAGTAATGTGATTAAAAAATGGACTAAGTACTTCAATAAACATTTCTCCAAAGACATACAAATGGGACAGGTGTATGAGAAGATGCTCAATGTCACAAACCATTAGGAAAATGCAAATCAAAACCACAATGAGATAGCACCTTACACCTGTTAAGATGGCTAATATATTCTATAAGCAAAAGGCAACAAGTGTTGATGAGGATGTGGGGAAATTAGAACTCTACTTTCTTAAAAACAACCTAAGTGTGACTCAGACCTCCTGTTCTGCTAGACTACTGGAAATGTTAATATCAGCCATTCTTAAGTGTTCCTCTACAAGGGTTTCGTGTAGTGGTGGGGCACTGGGGTGCTTTCTGCTCAGCAGTCCTCAGTCCTCACTGCTTACAGAGAGCACCTGTTATGGCAGCAAGCCTGGCCTTTTCAGGGGCAGCTATTTTACAGCCAGTGTGCCAGAGGGTATGGGGTACTATGCATGAGTGGACATGCCTTCATAAGTTCGTCCAGTCATTCTATACTAAGATATTCCACTTTCCTTGGTTTTTCTCAAATAGAGGAATTTACCTCTGCCTTGTGAGAGGAGGAATGAACATCTCTAACTCCTCATTAATAACTTCATTATATCTTCTTTGGTTTGTTTTAGGACTAGGTCTAGATTTTTCTGTTCTGTGATAAGTCTCCTTTGTGTAGCTTAGTCTCTCCCTCTTTGGTCCCTGGTGTTTAACTTTTTATTTTGAAATAATTTCAGAACATTTTCAAGAAGAGTGCAAAGAATTCCTATGTTCCTTTTATCAAGATTCTCTAAATGTTCAGATTTGCTCCATATCTATCTTTATGTCATTGGTGTTATACAATTCACATCACTTTGTGCAGAACAGTTCATGTTTCTTTACGTGGTACAATTCACTGTGTTTTTCCTACAAACAAGAATATTTCCTTACATAACCACACAATCATAATTAAAATCAGGGAATTAACTATACAGATTCAGAGTCTTCTAACTGTCCCAATGTTATTCTTTACAATGAAAGAAAACTCCACATCACGCATTGCATTCAGGCATCTAGTCTCTTTATTCTCCTTTATTCCAAAACATTTCCTCCTCTTTCTTTGTCTTTAATGGCACTGGCATATTTAAAGAGTACTAGAGTGATATTTGGTAGAATAACCATCAATTTAGGTTTGTCTGATGTTTCCTCATGATTTAATTCATGTTATTCAATTTTGACAGGAATCCGATAAAATTATGCTCTCAGTTAATCCCATCAGGAAGAATTACTGATGACATTAGCTTTGGTCAGTTTGGAGTTTCAGCATTGTAAGTTACTATTTTTTGTGTAATTAATAAATATCTTGTGTAATTAATAAACACTTTGAAGCAAGATAACTATCCCATTCCTCATTGTACTTGCACTCTTTAACATCTGTTTTTGTTTTAGGCCTGAATCAATTATTATTATATTATGATGGTTGCCAAATGATGATTCTTCTTTTTCTTTCCTTCCAACTTTGTTGGTTTATAATGTTGGGATGTGAGCCAGATACTGAGTGCTATGTCTAAGTAGAGAGGTTGGGATGACTATATTAAAGAGGCAGGAAGAAGGATAAGTAGGCCCATGAGACATTTTCCTGAGCCTCTAATGAGCAGCTCATTTTAATGACTTTCTTATAAACAGGGCTGATAGATTCTTGAGTCAAATCCTCATGTATGTTCTGTATTTTTATCTGGTAGTGGGTATATGGTTATATATATATATATGTAATTTTACAGTGCTTAATATTTTACCCTTTACTATATGTAAATTGTACCTAAATAATTAAAAAGAGCCACAAAGCAAAATAAATAAATAAATAAGAAAGATCTAATTTAGCCATTCAATTACATAGCATTGTATATGGCTTTAAACATTGCATAAAACTTTAAAAACTATGCTCTACCCTGAGTAAAGAGATATAGCTAATATGGGGATCATTAAATATTATAAAATCAGGACAGTGGCTCTATAACATGTAGTAGTCACCTTAAGATTTAATCATTTTCAGATAAAGAAATTAAAGCCAATGTTTTTTAAAAAGATTTTTTTTGAAAAACAAAAATTTCTTTTTCTGAAAAGAAATTATTTTTTCTTATATGATGTTTATAAGTGCAAACATTTTGTATATTAATATAAATATTTTAAAAATAAGATAATTAGAATTTTGCCTAAAAATGGAGATTTCCCCCCTGGATTTCTTTAAGTTGGCAATTACCCTTTGACTTTACAATATGGGTTGATTTACAGAATGGCAAAAATTTTAGTAACTTAATTGGTTATCCTCTGTCTACCTCTCCTCCTTCCATAAGCTCTCTGTCCTACTTCTGTGCCTCAGGGCTGAGCCTACGTATGTAGCTCCAGGGCTTCTTTGCACTCTTCCTTCTGGTTGACTTTGGCCAATGGAAGAGCAGATGAGAAGAAGAGAGGTTAGATTATTTCTTCTCTTATCCTCCTTTATGCCTTGGCACTCTGGCTCTGATTTAATTCTCTGAAATTATAGTTCTTTCTAGAAACTTTTATGGCTCTAGGTTTCATCATGTTCCTAATGTTTCTTTTTCTATTGTTTTAGGCCTAAGCCTTCATTTTTAAATTTTTTTTACACAGTAACTTATGTTTATTTCAGAGAGAGAGAGAGGGAGGGAGAGAGAGGGAGGTGTTTGGTCAGAAGCACAACATACGGCGAGGTTAAGAATTTAAAGATATCTTACATTCTGCCTTAATGGCAGCATAATCAATAGGAACAAAGATTTATCTTACTGCCTGCCATAGGAGAAGGGTATTTTTACAGAGCAGATGAGCACATTTTATGATATATGTATTATGAAGGAAAAAAGCTTTGCAGGTCTTCACTATGGACTCTGGATTGCCAGCATTGTGGACTGATATCCCGTGCATGGTCTGGTGGACATATAACTTCTCACACAAAGATCCTCTGTTTTTGTGCCAGAGATGACTTCCCTTCTTCTGCCTTGTTGGGCATTTTCAGGCTTTCATATTTTCTTCAAAATGCCAATAAGTTGCATATAATCTATGCATATTCATTGAGCCCCAGAATACCATTGGTGAGACTGTAGCAGAGCTGCTTTCACAGGCTTGCCTTGATCTGGGAGCCTGAGGCTGGAATGTGATGTCCAGGGCTCCATTCACTTGCTTCTACTTTTACTTGCCCCATCATTCTTCAATATTCCTTATTGCTTCCTTTTCCTTACATATTTGTAACTAGTCTCTTCATTAAATTATCTTCAAAAGAATGCTTTAATTATTTGCATTTTCTCCTGAGACCATGAAGGATACAATAACACAATTCATGGAAAAGACTCAGAAAAATGAAGTTTCTATTAAATAGCTAATGAGTGATAACAAGTAGGAAACAGACTTGAGGAAAGTGTGGCCTCACCTGTTCATTTTGTCAGGTGCCCTTACTACAGAATCTTCAGTGAAATCCATCAATAGTTCCTGACTATCCTCCTGGGGGATATATATTTTTTCTGTCCTATGCAAAAGCAGGTGATGTCAATTTTATCAGTTATGCAAAACTATTTTTCAAATTTGGTTGAGAAACTTAGAGAATGGAGCTAGGTCATGTTATAATATGTAAAAAGCACTTGCCACATGACTTGAAACTTTGTGAACCTTCTTATATATAAGCTTATTTTCACTAAAATGCAAATAAAATAAAATGCTTCCAAAATATGTGGTCGGGCATTGTTGGAGAGAGATATGAGAGGAAATGGGGCCCTTTGGAGATAATCTTCTCTGAATAAATGATTAAGCACTAGAACGGATATCATAGTCAAAGTCTAGCCTCATTTGTTTTAGTGATCTTGCTTCGTTTAGGCAAAATGCCTCTTTATATCTTAGGCAATTAGGTAATGAATTCGAAGAATAGCTAGAAGGAAAAAAAAATAGATTAGAAAGTCATTTCAGTAAAGTTGGGAAGCGAATGGATACTTAACTTATTCTCAGATTCATTAGTCTTACAGTCTATTGCTATAAAATGCAGAATCACAGTCATGTAAATACATGTATTATACTTAAATATATCAAGAAAGGATCACTTTCAAAAATGCCAGATGTTTTGTATTTCTCTGGTGGCAATATACAGTCTTCAGTTTAGCTATGCTAAACATATGTCAGAAATACACACTTGTTTAAGGGAGTCACAAACAGTTCAAAAATGAAGCACTTTGAATAATTCATCAGTAAGCAAAAGGTTTAGATTTGTTAATTCTACTTAAAAATGAACTAAATACCTCAAACAATACTACATATCATTATAAGTATGCACGTTATGAACTAAAAGTATAAAAACATGCAGGATATTATCTGCAATCCTGAGGATAATGTGTTAGCTTCCTGAGCTAATTTTTATACTTTAAATATATATATTTGTATCCAACATATTAAGGATATTTGTAATACTTTACTTCTTAATGAAAAAGGAACATATGGACATATATTTAAATTGTTAAATCTAAGTGGTAGGTATATGTGTCTGTTGTATTTTTATGTAGTTTCAAACTATTTCAAAATATACTGTTAGAAATGCTTTAAATAATGTGTGAAAACAAAAATCAGAGAAAAACTGAAGTTATACAAGGATAAACACCACAAACTGCTCATCTACAAAAATGAACATACTATGTGACTGAAAAGGCCAAACAATTGCTACCTCTTAGTTGCCTGTAAGAATGGCAAGTATGCCATTAAGTGGATAGCAGATGACTGGGATAGGATCAAAACAAGTACAGGGAAAGTTCTTAGATAATCAGAAAGGCAGTTCTTCTGAAACTAAAGATTCAGTTATTATCTAATCACCCTGAAAAGAGGTGAAGTCATCTTTTGAAAAGGATTTAGCCAGAAAAATGTGAAGTGAGTACGACTGGTGGGGGGGGGGCAGGGAGATAGACATAAGGGACACTGGAGAAGGTCAAGCTAAAGGATTATCAAGTGGCGTTTTGAGAACCTTGGTAAAATTGAAATCCATTGTTCTATAGTAGTGTGGAATTATTTGTTTTAATATTTTTCTCCATAACTGCTTAGACATGAAATATTTTAAGATTGACCTAAAGTTTTGCAGAATGTAGGCAATAGCAGGACAGGCTGCAAAAAGCTCAGAGTGGATGAGAGAGAATGGCTGAGGTTGACAACAACAGGGTTGAAATAGGAAGGGAAGAAGGAAACCCAAGAGGGAACTAACAGATTGGGAGAAAATGAAGGTGTCATGAGACTGTGGATCTCAGCATAGTGGAAAATGTGTGCATTGAGAGTAAGAGAATGAATGAGGGACTAGAAGGATAGAGGGCTGACTTTTTTTGAAACTCTAAATACAATGACAAAAATCTAATATATGGACTTCAGCATGGAGGCTGAAATGGAATAAAATTGAAGGTCATTGGATTTAAAACAAACTCTTGAAAGACAATTCTTTTGAAATCTATTGGGTCAACCTCATGGACATTGAACTCTTCTAGGACTACAACAAGAATTAGGTGTTAACAAACACTTTGTACTCTCCTCCAAAGTCCTCTATGAATATGGGGAATGATGAAATATCTGTAGATGATCATGTTGAGGAGTGATGTAGCCAGAGCCAGTGGTCTAGAGAAAGTAATGAAGATCAAAGAAAATACTACTATATATCTCCTTCCCTAGAGACAAGATGGTTATGTGGGGAAAAAACAAAACAAACAAACACACACAGAAAGTGACGTCCATGGGAGAGAATGGTTTTAGTCTAGATTCAAAAATATAAGAACCATTGAACAAAGAGGTTACAGATGTTTCTTTGTGACAAGACAGGAGTCCATAATGTACAGAGGAAAGGATCAGGAAGAAAGTCAGCCATAGAAGATGAATGGGGAAAAATTTGATATGTAGTCTGCAGAGAAAAATGAGAGGACAGGTGATCTAGACTATGTGTATTGGGTGGTCAGAACTGAGTTCTCTAGATGGGATCAAATGACATCATGTTCTGAAATTAGAAGTAGAGTTGCTTCCCAGCCTGCAGAAATGAGATCCTGAGATCTTTGAGACCCTAAGGTTAGCCAGATACCAGCAATTTGATTGTAGCTCTCAGTAATTCTGGTATAAAAGAAAAAGTTACATTTCTTTGTGTAATCTTCCAGTTTTCTTTTTCTTCCATATGCAGGTTTTTGTTTTGTTTTTTTTTTTTTTTTAGAAAATAATAAATAATCAATTAGTCAATACCTACTCTACAGCTAATATTAATTTCTCAGTTTTTCTTTCTTCTCACTTCTGGGCCTTTTCACATTCTTCTGTT